CATTACAATGAAAAACTATTCTTGGACGTAACCTGCACATCTGCAATCAGGGTAAATTGGGGATTTTGATCTTGGCATTAACTGAAGAATAAAGAGTTCTGGAAGAAAACTAACCAAACAATATCAGAATCAGAACCATTGTGTAAGTATTTAAGTAACAGGAAGTCCCAGACTAGGAAATTGATTAAGCTCACGGTGCAAACAGTCAAAGGAAAAGAAAGAATAACACATAATAAAACCTTTCTAAAGTATAACATTTTCTTAAATATGACAAAATAAAAAGTAAAATTATTGCTATATACACTCGGTGAACACAATATACATTAAGCAGTGCATTAAGGTGACGGCAGTTTAGTGAAATATTGAAATCATAATAAGCAGAATTTTTTACAGAGAAGCATAGTCTATAATCTAATACATTTGTGTTTTTGTTTAGCCCTATATCCTTGAAAATAATGTGCCTTTAAAGTTCAACAGAGAACAGCTAATAGCAAAATCTGTCAATCACACCATCATTTGGGGATTTTCAAAACTCTTCGTGAGAAACAGTTGAATGCAGTGGATTAATCAAAGCTCTATGGATGACCTTCAACCACAAATACTGACGATGAGAGAATAGGAGTAGGCCGTATAAAAGCAGCGATACGGGTTGTATCATTATTCAGTGCATTTGTGAATAATCTGCTCCATTTTCTAACAGCACTTACCCTTGACTTTCCTCACTCTTCCCTTAGTCTCGCTCTCAACAAGTCAAAGGGACATTTTTTCCAATTCGGGCGTTCTGCTCTCCCAAAATTCCATCCGATGGGCGGGGGAGCGACTGAATTTTGCGTTGCATTATGGGTAACACTTGCCTTCGCAACTTCCGGTTCTCTCTGCCCGGCGCATTTTCTCTAAATGGTTGAGTGTTTTCGTCATTTTCTGTATGCAAATACATTCCCGTCTCTAACTAGTGGCATATCGCGCAAATCATCCGTCCAATTCACATTCTTCCCTCTTAGCTGAACTTCATTCTCATTGTTACCATCTGTCACTCGCACACACAGCCGTTTTCGTTCACTCTGCTCGCTGTCATCTTCTTCTAAATCTTCATAAACACCATCCGCTCGTTGAACTAGCAACAACAATTCCTCCTTTCGTTTTCCCACACTGCAAATACCCTTTCGCTTCAACCTTTCACGCAATTCAGGCACTGTCAATCGCTTGTTGTTTTCGTGAGCCATATTCGCCATTGTATGAAATCAACCGGAAGTGAACTGGGCAACAAACGGTGTCATTTTTTGATCACAGCGCCGCTCAGTGGATGAAATTTTGGGAGAGCAGAACGCCCGAATTTCCGTGAATGGTTATGATTAGTGATTACAAAAATTGGGTGTCAAATAGTGTTTTTTTTCCCTCCCCCTCTCTATCAAAGTGCAAAAAGCAACAGTGCAACAGGGTAATTGAGTCCAGAGCAGCCCGTCTACTCAGTTCTCACTTTGCTTTAATAGGAACAGGTGAGAATTGTGATTAATAAAATGACAAGAGTGTTTTTTTTTTTTCTATACTAAAGTGCAAAAAAGTAACAGTAAAGTGTAATTGAATTCTAAGCAGCCTGTTTCTCTCTTTCTTCCTCTGCCTCAGTGTTGAAGAGTAGGATAGATCATTAGCTTTAATGGACTTCAGCCCTGTCATTACATGTCCCATTTACCTTCACTGCATAACACTCTGCTTTTCGTATCGCCACTAGAGGAGGGCACTAGGGCGAGAGGAGCGGCGGAAAAGTGCCAGACGATATGTGACGGTCCAGACACCGCTCACTGTTGAATGTGGATGGAGAAAATAATCAGCGAGGTTTGTGAAGGTGAAAACAAATTCTACAGTAGAAAAGTTGTACAAAGTTGTTTTTGTGAATAATGGACAGAATGGGATGTGTGTGTGTGTGTGTGTGTGTGTGTGTGTACTTTCCTGCCCTGAATGAACGGTGTGAGGGAGTTTATGCAGAGGGAAGTTTCTTGCTTTCGCTTTGTGTGAAAAGTATGACATTGAATTTGAAGCATACTTTGAAACCACATAATCACCTACGTAAAAAATAAAAAGTTGGGTTCTTTCACTACTTTTGCAATCATGTATTTTTCTCGCATCTTCAGCTGAACATTTTCTGTGAAAGAGAGAGTACCAGTCTAATATTCTCACAGACTGTGGCTCTTTCTTTCTACTATTTATGAAACTTTAAAGTTAAAAGTTTGATAGTGACTGATTTCAGGTCAATTCGGTCATTTTATATAGATTGACTATTTTAAAGACCATACGGATTTAGGCTGAAGTTTAGTTTTTAAGTTTATCTTTATTTTGATAACTTTATTTGAGTGTGTTCTTTTCAAAAAGTCTACGATTGTTGAGTACATAATTCATATTCAATATTGTTTTTCATTTTTTGCTAAATTTCTTAATTGTACACCCTATGAGGAAATGTGACATTTATGAGCAATGTGGGAAAATAAACAAAACTAATGGCTCCTTGTGTCAATATGAATTATATCAGAGGAAACGGGCTGAAGTGACTTTGGCTGAGAATAAATCCTTCATGAGACATTGATTAGCTCACATTTACAGGTTGGGCACAATTAAAATGTTTATTTCCTGTGATAATTACAACAAACAAAATGTCCAAATGAAGTCCCATAGCCTTTATGTTTATGGTCAGTTCTACCAGACGAACAACACATATAAACCTGTTTATATTTGTTGAAAAGTCTCATTAAAAGTTCTCATTATTTTGAATAGTTGTTTTTTATAAAAAAATTGTTTCTTATATTTCAGTGGACGGTCAGACTTCAAACATGTTGGATCTACTGGCACTGATATAGCATGGGTACCTTTTTATCTAATTTTAGTCCAAATACAACTTTGGTCTCGGAAAACAGTGCTTTGACTGTTGACTCGGCTCCTACAAGGGTCTACATAACGCAGGTCAACTAAGCATTTGAACACTGGTCCAAAAATGCGGGTCTGCAGAGTGAAAATTGCCTGTGTTTCTGGTTGTCCGTATTCTGTGGATACAAGACAAGGGTGTATTGGGTGCTTTACAGTGCACCTTACCTTATTTGCCCTTTCACAGTGCTTCTAAAAGTTGCTTTAAAAGTGCTTCTGAATGTATTTATGTATTATGTGATGAGTATCTGTAGTATGTAATTCAATTATGCAATGAAGGGTAGGCGTTGTTTTGTAACTTCTGCCTACACTCCTTTTGAGCTCTTTTTATTTTTTATTTTTTTTACTTTTGAATGCGCTGGAAAACGGCTGCAAGTCCTAAGTAGCTCTGAAACAGTTGTTGTTTTGTGCTTCTGAATTTTTATTTCTATTGTTTTTTTCTACCTGAGATGTTGCTGCAGTACAGACCAGAGCAGAGAGGATTCATGGTCCAAACCAAGCAGATCAGGTGAAAATCCACTGGAGGAATGCTAACTTTTTGAAAAATGCTAAAGAAGCATTTGGCATTTTACTTTGGACAAGAGCAGAGGAAATGGTCGCGGCTACTCCACCTTGTGACCCGTCCTGCTCCACCCAGAGGCTACTCCATCTTTTCTTCTGTGACTGCTCAACCCAGAGGCTACTCCACCTCTGCTGCCTTGACCTGTCCTGCTCCACCCAGAGGCTACTCCATCTCTATCTGTAGGGCTGTTGCTGATTACACAAGTTAACAGCCAAAAAATGGTCAGGGGTTTCTCAACTGATTTAGACTAATTTTGGTGTTCTGAGTCTGAATATCACATGCATTTTGCTCTATCAGGTCAACTTTTTGAGATACAGCCATAGTTTTAAGGATTACGTACGTCTACATTATTATGAATTCTGCTTATCAAATTTGATGGAGTAAATAAAAACGGAATGACTTTGGATACGTTGACTGTTATTTCTTGAGGAAAACGGAAAAAACGTCCAGGGTTTCTCAGCTGATGATCCGCAGAAATTAGTTTTTTAGGCAAAATCAATTAAAAAAAATATTTCTGTAGCAAAAAATCCTGACCTGATTGAGCAAAACCAAGGTCATTTTCGGACTCAGAGCATCAAAATTCAGCTGGAAAACCCTGGACTATTTTCAAAAAAATTTGTTTTTGTTACCCAGTGTTATTACTTTTAAAAAACGTTTTAGAATTATCAATTTTTATTTTTTATTTTGGCTGCTACTGGACTGAATTTCTCTTACGAGGATCAATAAAGTATCTATCTATCTATATAGCAAGTGAAAAAAACATTGTCTTGTTGTTGTATGTGTCGCTCTGAGCTCAAATAAACTATCTGAACTTTACAGACAAACTTGAAATAAAACAAGACTAAATAAAAAAGTTAACTTGACATGAACTACAGTGTTTAAAGAGAGAACCAGCAATTTGTGACTGAATTCAACATTAAGAGCGTGTGCTGCCATAGCCTAAAGAAAAACATAATAATGTTGGATCACCACCCATCACTCCATACCTCAAAATGGGATCGCAATAATTACAGCTTTAAGTTTGAACTCAATCGCCCTGAAGTAAAAGCAGGATGATAAATGGCTTTTTCAACCTTGAGTTCAGGTTCCAGTGGAAATCTCTTTTAATCTGTGCTCTATGTTTCCCAGATCAGGTCCCAACGGAGAGCTGCTCTTGTCCAGGTCTGACCCCCCGCGCCCTGGACCGCACTCTCCCCACCGCAGAAGCATCTGGTTTTGTCAATCACCCGCGCATTCAACAACCGCAAGTTCCTCTTCACAAGACATGACACGTTTTCCCTCACACTGCCACTTCAACTTTTCACTTACAACTTTCAACCCAAAGCAATTTTTGTTTGTTTTTCGGAAGCTATTATTCATGAGAACTGAAATACTCTAAAAGGCTACACTATTCACAGCTTGTGAAGTGAACCAATGCACCAGACAGCTTGGTAGTGGTGGCAACTGCAGACAACCAACACCCAAGTTCAAAAAAACCACATGACCAATACCCAAAAGTGCAGAAAGAGGATTCCAAATGACTTACTTTAGATCCTGGAAGGGCTCGGCTCGTACATGTGACGTCTCCACAGAATGACTGAACACGACTCCTTCATTCCCTAGAGAGAGACACACACACACAGACAGATGGGGTATAAAAACTGTAACAAGCTTTCACTTAACATGCATGACACCACTTATGTTCATTAAAAAACATTTATTACAGCAATAATTTACGCATCAGCATTTGACTTCCAAGAATTTAATGGAAGAATTGAAGGTGACGCATAGCATAACTTTGAAAGCAGGGAGCAATTTGCATATCACTGGCTTTAGGACAGTCGCACGTTCACGCTTGGTAAACAGTAGTTTGTAAGGTACATTAAAGGTGTTATTTAGAGTTAGAGAGCCCACCATAAGACCTACTTCACGACTCCCACTGATGACTGCTGTCGTTGTGTCCTTGGGCAAGACACTTAACCCCACTTTGCCTGAAGCCCCCACTGAAAGATCTCAGCTCCTGTGGACTCAGCACCTGCAGGAGGATCAGTGAGGGGCTGGTGCTCTGTGACTGGGTGCAGCTCTGACTGCCACCCCCCCTGACCCAGAAATGGATTAAGGGGAAGAAAATGGATGGATTGAACGTTGCATATCCATGAAAAAGATTCCTGCAAGTCACTATTTAACTTTTTGGGCTGAGTGAAGTAGTCCTAACAGTGTCTGGAAAGGCTGATCTAAACATGTGTCAGAGGCTAAAAAGACGTGCATGTGAAATCGAGCAGAACCAAACCTTTTTGAGAGAGAGGGACTAGTAATTATATAGTTTTTTTTAATGTATGTACCTCTGCTTTAAAATACAACCTCATATCAAGCAATCCACCCATCCTATCTTTATCTATTCAACCTCATTTGTCTAAATACATTTAACACTGACACAAGCTCATAGGAGGTAAAAGTAAGTAGTGGTAATCTTTATTTATATACCGCCTTTTCACTGCACATCGGAGACTCAAAGCGGTTTACAATTGTTATTTTTGGGAGTGGGGGTGCCAGTACAGGAGGCACATGCCAGATCTATTGTACATATTTTTAGTGGTAGGGGAAACCGGAGCACCCGGAGGAAACCTACGCAGACACGGGGAGAGCATGCAAACTCCACTCAGAAAGGCCCTGGTCCAACCAGGATTCGAACCCAGGACCTTCTTGCTGAGAGGCGAGCGTGCTATCCACTCAGCCACCGTGCCAAGGTAAAACTTATCTTGATTTTCACCAATATTTATGAAAAATAAAATAAAAACACATATTTAGATCCAACCAACAGCAGTAAATTTTTAGTAAACATAATTAAACGCACATCTGATCTAATAACCATCAAATCCTGCAGGGTTTTCGTGACAAACAATTGCAATAATCAGTGTGCATTAGGCCCTAACCCTGTATGTTCCACTGTGCACTTTTTCCCACTGCTTTCTCTGCAGCTTGCGTGCTCAGCAGAGGTGTTGATAGCCTGCACCAGTTCTAGCTAATAGTAGTGTTTAGCCCCTGTTGTCTTGAAGCTCTCAGGCTGGAGGCTGGACCCAAAGAGCAGATGTTTGGGATGAGCTCTGGTCCAAACTCCAGCTGAGACTGCGCTGTTCAGGCTGCAAAGTCAGCACCGCAGCTATAATGGAACAGCATACAGCACCACTTTACTCACACTGCTGCTATACTTCAATAATGCAGCAATAATGCAGGTTAAGCAAGCTTAAGAGTGTCACAGAGGAACGAGGTATTGAAACGATTGATGGTTGGAATAAGAAAGTCATCGGCCATCAACTGTACAATTACTGTATATCGTGAAATGTGTTTGTGGCAACAGTCTTGTAAAACATAATCCGACAAATCAAACATACTGTGCCGTCTTCCCCTTATTAAAAACATGATATATTTTCTAAACTCCCTATGAGTCACCTTTGTAAATTTCTCCATTGTGAGATCAATATAATTTATCTAATCTTCTTTGACGGCCCTCTATTTTTCACTTATCCGTGTGAAAGGCTAATCGAAAGAGAAGCCAGAGCCCAAATTTGTTTTGAGAGCGAGGAACAAGTTTTAGAAGGATTTTACTGCATTATTCCACTTTTTGTGTTTGTGGTTGAAAAGTAGATACCCCAGATTTAAGATCAAAAGTAGTTCTTGACTTGATTTGTAGCTATAATGTTTGTTCCGACCTTGATAAGTGAATATTCAAGGGAAGCCTGTAGACATAGGAAGAACAGTAAGTAAATTATGACTTTCTAGCTGTGACTTTTGTGACACTTATAGATTCAGACTACTTTATTCACCCCACACCACGGGCAATTCCTTTGAGCAGCATAGGGCATAAAAAACACCGGTAGACTGTTCCAAATCTGGATCAGTCTACCTGAAAATGTGAGACAGGCTTCTCTTCTGAAAATGTTCAAATCCAAATTAAAAACGGTGTTGTGCAAACAACTGAAGGGTCATATCGTCGTAGTTCTGATTTTAATTCCTTTTGTGATGATTTCTATTTTGTTTGGTTTAGCCTTGTGTATGAACTGTGCTATACAAATAAGCTTGCCTTGCCTTCCATTGTCTTTCATCGCATAGGCTATAATTTTATATTTAATAATATATCCTAATATATTATTAGGATATATTGTGCTATTAGGACAAAAGAAAAGGGATGAAAATAGAGGAGCTCCTTTTAAGTAAGTAAGTAATTTATATTTAAAGAGCATATTTAAACCAGACCAAGGTCATCCCAAAGCGCTTTACAATGTTCAGAGATATTATTTCGTCCTCTCCACACACGGTGATGACGGAAGCAAGACGCCGAAAACACTGGCACATCAAAGCCACCGAAACATCATCCATTCATAACTATTGTACATTTAGTGCTAGGGAAACAGGAGCACTTGGGGCAAACCTACACAGACACTGGGAGAACATGCAAACTCCACTCAGAAAGGCCCTGTTCCGACCGGGAATCAAACCCAGGACCTTCTTGCTGAGGTTAAGGTCATTCATTACACACAGCCTTAAGTGTTGTCTATTCAACACCGTTTTTACCTGTGACTCGGAGCTTCTCGGTGCCGATGCTGATCTCCTCTTCGTCGGCAGAGAACAGCACCCTCTCTCCATCAGCGCTCCGCACTTCAAACCTCTGGCACTGCGCAACCACCATCTCTGACCCTGAAGAACATCACAAACACACACACCACAATGACATTTTTCTGTGTACGCACAACTCCAATCCAACCACTCACTTCTCTTTGCGCGAGAGAAGCAACACCTCAATATTATTCTCAAAATGAATGTAAAAATCCCAACACAGTGCTCAAATGTCAAATACATTTTTATAGAACCTGATTCCAAATGTCAGATTGGGCCACCATTCCCTGCAGCATAAACATACCCTTTGACTTTGACAGGTTGCCATGTCTGAGCTTTATTTCATCTCTTTGGAAGCCACTGATTCAAACTAAGCTGTTAAAAATACCCATCAGGTTCTGGCTGTTCAGACCAACTTCCTGTGTTGGTAATTGCGCTGGAGAGCCCTGTCAGTCATAATCTCACTTTATTAGCTGCCTTCAGTTAGGGATTAAGTCTTTTACTCTCATCTGGATCTCATTGTCTTCATCCCTCCTATCGCTCACTTAATCCCGTCTCAGCACGAAGGGAGAGGCACTACACATTGTCTCATCCTGAAGAGGGCTGAAGAGCGAGTCCGTCTCTGCTTTCGAGTGTCTGTTTGTGCGTTTGTTTAAGCACAAACCCGACAGTTTTCCCCCCCTCAAAGAATAATAGCTGGTTGTATAATGTGTGTTATAATAGGGAAACAGGGATTTTTTGTTCCTAATATATTTATGGGAAGATTGGAACAATTCAACACGGACTCACAATGATTTTCTACCAGTGCAGTGTTTTGGCCAAAGCATGCGCTATTGCCACTTTTCTCTTTCTCTTCTCTTTTAAATTCTTTATGATGTGCTTGTCGACTTATTGTTTGTACTTTTACCTGTGTGTTTGTGTGTTTCGTACCTGTCTTAGGAAAATGGATGCAATTTAGCTATTGTGCTAATTCCAGCAAATTTATGTTGACGCTGTTTGCAGACACATGATTAATATGTCCTGTCCTAAATTGAAATATATTAAATATTAAAATAAAACAAAAACATTTTTCAACAAAGAAGAAAAAAAACAAAACAATGTATGTGTAAGCCATCCGAAGTTAAGCAGGGCAGGGCCCGGTTAGTATTGTGATGAGAGACATCTGGGAATACCTGATGAAACTTCACGCTTCGGCACTTTACAGTTAAAGTGTGTGTGTGTGAATGGCTGGTGGTGGTCTGAGGGGCCGACGGCCTCGCCTCTGTCAGTGTACCCCAGGGCAGCTGTGGCTACAATGAAAATGTATCACTGCTGTGTATGAAGTGAATGAATAATAACCATGTGAAGCGTCTTTGAGTGTCCAGTAAAACATGATATAAAACCGATACATTATTATTATTATCATTATATTTCTTATAACGTCTTTTTATACTCTGACCCAAACATCTCAAATCACAATTCCAAATAAAGCGAAAATTCTTCTCAGCAATAATTGTGTTTCTTATCTTCTTTTACCGTATTAAACACAATCATTCTAATAGTGCTGGACAACAGTATGAATTATTACCATTTTGAATGACATGTTTTTCACTTTTTCATTACCAATTTATTTAAAACTTTGCAATTTGGAAAATGATGAAAAGTCAAAAGCACGAAGCCTCACCCTGACTTCAGTGAGAACATAATTAGCGGTTCATTCTTCTTAAACGTCGTGTGCCCTCATACGTCCTGTGTTAACCCTGATGTGTTTGATCATTTAACAGTGATTGGTTGATTGCGCTCCCTAAAGTCCTTTCACCATCGCCTCAAACAGCAGCGCTCCTCATTAAGCCATCTCTCTCTCTCTGACGGATCTGGTTTGTCGTCGCCGCCGCTTCTCTCTGAACGTTAAGTCCTCAGAAACACAGCACTCTGGGGAGGTAAAGGTGTCACATCGTTCTAACGGAAAATGATACCGTCACGTGTTTTCGAACTTCAGAGGAACTCATAGTCAGCCGGTTACAAGGAGTAAGCTGGATGTATTTGATTGTATTTCTCTGAAGAATAAAACAATTACAATATTTATTCCACTCTATTTGCTTCCTGCTGCTCTAGTCACAAACGTATGTCATTTTTGTACATAGCAATCATACAAACCCCTGATTGCTACTTTTTTACATAGTGTACTTATAACATGAAAATTCTGCAATAGAAAATGCAGGTATTTTACAGATTACAGTATCTTGTATTTATTAATTAATTTTGCTGTTTAACTTGTGAGTCAATCTCTATAAGGGCCGCAAGGTTACTCCCCGACTTACATACTTAATTACATTAATTGCTGTTTGTTTTTGACTGCTTCCTACTTTAAAAAATATACTGTTTTTGAATCGTGCTCTGGGACAAATGGGGGGTTTTCATGCAGGGTTTCAGATCTTGTCTTGTTTTATTGTGTCCCAGGAATTCAGACGAAAACTAAACCAGTCCCGGGTGTACAGTAACTATCATTTGTTTGTATCTTTAAAGATTTCCTGGACATGTTTTCAGTAACTTTCAAACACTGCAGTGGAAAACACAGCTGTATAATTCAACATGTGACGTTTTTAGATCTTTGAAAGTCTCCCATGATGCAATGGGCAGCAAAGCTCGGGCGACTTCCTTGTTTGATGTGTTTTCACCAGTCAAACCAAACAACAGATAAATGACCCAAACTTCAGAAAAAAAAGAAAAAAAAAACGTTGTTGCGAGACGCGGCGAGAGGAAATAAGAAAAGTGCATAGCCTTGCAGTTTGTATTCCACTTTGCCAAAGGTGGGAGGGTAAAATTCATGCACCGGGGCACACCAATTATTTATTTAGAGATGATTACAGTCATTAATATGGCGAGGGAGGAGAGAAGGAGCCCAAGCACCAGATAAATGAGTGCCATTTGTCATCTACATTCATCAACATGATCTTCTGCAGTCAAACGCTGAGACGCAGGCAAAATGAGACGAGCTGAGCACAGAATTATAGGGAAAAGTTGGCTGGCAAAATGTAAAAAAGCTTTAAAATACCCATTGCTAAATGTAAATCTAATACAAAAGTCAAGATATGATTCATTAGGTTTTATAGCCGCTTTCATCTTACATAACAAATGTTGAAAAATCACTACATTTGGGCTGATATAATGACGTCTCTCTCAGACGGCATCGCTTATCTTCAAATCCAACTCATATTTTTGTTATCTACTCCAACACATACACATATTTTTATTCGGTACATTAGAGCAGGCGTGTCCAAACTTTTTAGTAGGGGGCAACCTAGTAACTTTAGTTCACTAGAGTTGTCCAGGAGCCGGCAACATTCTAAAACTGCTTTTCAGGCTTTGGGCTTTTAAAATTGGGTGTGATATGCTCATATTCATCAATGCCGCATCTACACTAGTGCCATTTTGGTGACACAATTGAAAACAAATGAGAGTATATATTAATAAAGTGAATGGCTGAATTCCAAAGGTTCAGAAATTTACAACAAGGTGCAGCATGACTATATAGGTGCAGCTGAAGTTGGCTGGATGACTCTGTGAATGTGCCTCAATGGATAGTTGTAGCAAGGCAGAGGGCCACATGGAATGAAACAAAGGGTGGCATTTGGTCTGGACATGACTGCATTAGACCATACACCTGTCAGACAATAGCTTTCATTAGTTGGTAGCTTGTTAGTTGGTCCTCAGAAACACTTTTAGCACAATTTAAAAGTGTGGTTTCATTTGGTTTTCTCAGGCAAAATATACATAAGGTTTCAGAGGGACCTGAAGGAGCTATTGGCCAAAGGCGTAACTCAAAAGTGTAAGTATACAGTACATGTGAAGCCTTTGCATTTGTAGCAGTGCTGTTTCTTGTGCCTGGGCTGTGCTGTTTATGTAATTTCAAAGATTTAACCATTGTAAATTATTCAACTGAGTTTTGGTGGAAACAGCCTGTGGTGGATAATGTGAGTTGTGTGAATGGAAAACGCAGAAGAGCCTGAGGCAGAGCTGCCGGTTCAGAATGGATTTAGGAGAGCATTTGGCCGTTCATTTATTTAACCTTTAAATACAGCCTTTGTATGTGTTTTCTTTCCAAACAAGCCACAGGCAAATGGAGTCACAACTTTTATAATGGCATAGCAAAATTGGTGTCCATTACATTATTCATGTGCTCGCAAATAGCACAAAAAGAAAGTCAATGCATTCAGATGGCAGACATGGGAACATACAGTACAAAAAAAAAAACAGTACGGAGAAATATCAAATATCAAAGAATAAACACAGTATGAATTTTTCCTTTAGAACTTTTAAATGTTTTGACCAAATGTATCCTGCTCCTTATGGACCGATGGCTCCTACTGTATATGTTTGTTATTATTCCATTTCTGTGTTCAAACGAATCTGTTGTTGGCGAACGTTGGCTCTACAAATGATGAAAATTTGACTTATTTTATCATAAATGTAAAAAAGGTGTAATTGCAAAAAGTAGCATTTTCATATCACCACAAAATTGGCCTTGATGCATTTGCTGATTATATTTATCAGTTCATTCACGGATCGTGCATCCTCCAAACTGACAATATTCCAGGTCCTCATTCAACCTCCACCTCGCTACACAAATGCAAAGACAATATCCACCACATTAACATAAACTGTTATACAGATGGTTAACTTTTTTGCAGAGAATAGCACTATCATATGTATAAATGACAACAGTGACAGTAAATCCAGACCTTTATTGAGCACTTGATAGCTTAAGTGTGTTCCAGTTTGTAAACGCTCAGCTCTATGTATTTTTAATTGGCTCATTAAAACAGCTGATTTGGTTGTTGGGCGGAAGCATTAACTGGAGTGAGGTGCTTGTGTGCTGCGCTGTGATTGGCTCAGAGTGGTGCACATAGGATGAGAGCACTTATATGGTACTGTGCCTCTCAGTCATATCAGGTCAGGCAGCTCTCAGCGGAAAGTGTGACCGCAGAAATGGGATTGCTCTGTCAATAGTTGCTGAGCGGCAGGGAAGATTTCACCAAGATCTACATTCATAATTAGACAATGTGTAATGGAACAATTGAGTTTCACTGTGAGGCTAAGCTGTAGAGCTGGCATCGCAAAGAAATCTAATTTTTGCCCAATGATCTTTTTGGTGCAGTTTTCGGGCGTGATAAATGCAAAGCTCTTCCAATTTAGAGCAGCTATTAAAATGATTTAACGGCAACATTTAGCATTAGGGTCGCACTTCACCTCTGGGAATATTCCATTTCAGCTGCAATAAAGAAGCAGCATAAAGAAACATTACAAACATTTGTAAAGAAACTACAGATAGATGTATTCTGAAGTCAAATTGTCCCATTTTAATACATCTTAGATTTTTTCTTTGATTACTTATTTGAAAGACTATATCCATCAATTACGGACTGAACCAATCTTTATCCTTTTTTTCAGTGGCCGATAACAAGGTCAGAATGAAATGGTTTTTGTAAAAGTCATCAAGCGGCTATGTTGCCTGCAGTGATGGATGCTGATGGGAATAGACTCATTTTAAAGAAAGGAAAGGGAAAAAAACATGTTTATTTGTAAGAGGTGTATTTATTGCTCATCTATTTAGTTTTTAGTCTTGGGTATTTACTTTTTGACATTAGGGAGGTATTTTGAGCACATCATTACTTTTATCAATAATGGGTTGATATTCCTTTAGGAAAGGTTTTTTGGGGGAAAAATAGCAAAACTGGAACAAAGTGGAAAGTGGTGTGGCCTTAATAAAGATATTTTGATGATTTATTACTAATTGCATGTTGGGGTTATTGTAAACTTTAGAGTAAAATATATTTTGTGGTTGTTCCAAAGAAAGGGATAGCTTTTAACTATAGCCTACAGACTGGGGTATAGGCTGCCATGGAAGCACATATGAATCTGGTTTATAGATAGTATTTACTCCCATTATTTGAATAGGAAAAATCTGTCATTGGCCGTTATATTCTTGGATGGTAGAAGGTCAAGGCTCGTCATCCTCTATTTTTGATCTACTTAGAATCAATAATACATACGCAATAAAACATTAGCATAATACATGAATATATGTGAATCTAATGTAGACACATTATAATCATTATGGGTTGTATTTCTGTGAATTGATTTTAATTGAGCTTTGCCGTCATAACTTCCTCAATCCACTTTTTGTGCTACATTAGCCAAATGCCCAAGAAATGAAGTGAGAGATTGAACACAGATAAAAGGAGGCGTAATTAGTATAAGAAGGTAAAAGATAATGAAGAGATAAATGCACACCAGAGTAGTTCGGAGGAAGGTAACAAGGTCAGTAGGGAATTCACCGGCTTAATAAAGGACAAGGACCACAGATGATTAAAAATGGGGAGGCCAAGGCAAATGACATGAGCAAAAGAGATGAGAAAGTGAGAAGAGAAGTGAAATGAAGATAGGGAACCCAAAAGACTTTTCAAAGGGGGTTTCTTTCATGAGATGGAGGATAAAGATTGTTGAAATAATAGTGAACAAAAGAATAATTTTAATGTTGAAAACAACAACATGTGGTAAGAGCAATAACTTTCTGTATTTATGTTGACTCAATAAGTATGCTAGTATATTTCATTACATCACAGGAAACGACATCTGGATTATTCTTTAATAATGAATGTAATCCCCCATGCATGGCTGGGACAGGTGACCTGTCTTTTCTGCAAATATTGGGTCTTCTAAACTTATGGTTCACACATCATTTTTATGGGTAGCCATTGAGAAGACTAAGATGACAGGTTTTCACTCTTATTAACGAGCCATTGGTAAAGATGGAAGAGAAGGATGAGAGGAGAGTGAGAGAAAGAACCATAAAACTGAAGCAAGACACCCAAGGCCACCTCATGATAAGGTCCACACTGGTCCGACAGGAGACAAACTGTTAGACCGACTTGAATAGTCAATACATTGTTCCAACAGGGGAATTGATACAAAATAAATGTTTTTCAAATTGTATATCAATGAAAGGACTGTTAGAATACTAAGGGGAATTAAAATGAATGGCTAAGGTGTTTTATGATTAAATGCTTTGGGGAAAAATATGGATTTTTTGGTCTAAATTAAAATTCACACTTTCATCTTATGATGACGATCATAATATCTATTTAGCCAGACCCTCGACTTTCAGACACATCTGAAAGCAGAAAGGTCTGAGACCAGGGAGACCAATCAAAGACCCATCACAGCAGTTGATACGTGGAACTTGCCCTGAATCCGGTTAACACACGTTTCTACTTCCTTTTCCAAAGAATTCCATTCTAGAAACCCTCTTTAAATGATGTTTAATGTCACTTAACCAAACCTGGATCTGCCCTGTGTCATCATTTGAAGGGCAAGTTTTTGGTCAGTTCGGATGCAGTCTCTGCTTTGCGCAAAATCCAAGAGGGTCGCCACGGCATGATTTTCTTCTGTTTTTCACTGGGATACAGACAAGCGCATGTGTGCACTTCTGTTTGTTGTTGATATACACGCTAAAACAAATCACACATTTCTGCAGCCTCTTCCTGTTTCCTGTGCAATCAAAATGCGGTCATGAAAAGAGATCCAGACTCTCACTTAATAACTATCTGTTGAAAGAGTTATAGAGCAGTGCATTGATAATATAATACTATCATATTACTTGTGGCTCTGGGAAAAAATATGAAAGTAATAAAACTAATAACATGTACTTCAAACCGTTTGATTAAACCCGGCAATAAATGCATGAATGTAAACACTTCTCTAGTGTCTTTTTGTATGAATGTTAATGAGGGCTTTAGTCAGCTTCAACCTGCCTCCTGCCTTCCCATGTGTCAAATGTCTGGATAACACAAATAACCGGCCTCTCATTATACTCTATAACCTAGAGAGAATAGAGAACTGTGTTGGTGTTAGAATCAGCAGAGAGGTTGGAGACGTAAGGGGATTCCCAGTTTCCACAAAAGCACATGCTTCATGGTCTCCCACTGACACCAGCAGCAGTCTCTGAGTCTCTGAGTCCATGTGCTGGGATTTCACACAATGCGGAACTGAAGCTCAGCGGTTATTTTATGTCCACAGAAACATTGAACTGGAGCATTACCAGTCTAGTTAGAATGATTTTTTTAACAATTATTTGAAAATGAATCTTCAAGGGCCTTATAGACACACAAACACACTCACGACATTCACTCTTTTCGTGTAATATTTTATGGTATCTTTTGGAAAATAATACAGTATTTCACTATTGTATCCAACAATGGCATTGTCCCCAAAATGTCTTCATTAAGTGTTTTTTTTTTGTAATTTATATTTTTCAGTTTTCTTTTGCAGTCACACATTAATCAGTAAACATTCCACAGACAGTATCTTCATTAAGTTTTTTGACATGTGATCTTCCAAAATGTTGGAAGGAATGAGCCAGAAAATTAGGACTGGTGTCTACAACAATAGTAGAGCTACTAACCAATTCTGTTTATGTTTCCTTTTATTGTTGGCGGACAGAGCACAGTAAATCCTGATTGCATTCTTAATGGTAAGTGCACAACAAACAACACAGCCAATGGCAGTTAGTCGTCACAGATCCTCATTTATACACAATGTGATTGCATTTATGCCGCTGCACAGACAGTCACGTCCACACCGGCAGCACTAAAGTGTTTCTCTCGGTGAGGAATATAGCTTTAGGGAGTTTTAACAGCAGGAGACGAGCTGTCAGGAAATTCTACCCATCAAATCTGCGAATGGTATAGAGTGTGAATGTGTGCAGAAAAAAAAACACAAGTTCGGCAGATAAATATCTCTATATTGCAGCTGTGTACAGCACACAGCAGATACGGGGCGTCGAGCTCCAAATACCATTCATCTCAACTGTCACATTCTAATGCTACCTGCGATGATCAGGCATAAAGCAATGGAAAGCATCCTAGCAGACAGCATGGTATATTTGTTTTCTCTTTTTTTGAAGTGTAGCACAAATGTCTGCATTTTAAATCTCTCACACACAGCCAGCCAACCAAAAACTAATTCCAGGGGTTTTTAGAATGTACCAGAGATCCCCAAGAACTGTATCTAACAATAGCGAAAATGTTATTAAATGTTACCGCAAAAATAACATTTCCATAAATTGTGTGCTTGTCATTTGCCAAGCTTTAAAATATATTTTATTGAAACATTGTTGAATATTAAAAGGGTGCTCTCTTCTCACAAAAGAGTCGCATAAAAACATCAGGGATAATACTAGAGCTTTCCATAAAAATACAGTGCCTCTATTGTTATTGTCTGCTATTTTCCGGTTTGAGAGGTGCCCTGAGAGGCACACCTGAGGCTATAGCACCAGGCTGAACCGCTGGCTGTGCATTTTAAATGTGTTTATTTCTCTCACTTTGGCTCAAAAATAAATTGCTTTAACCCACAGGCTTATACAGGACCTCACGGCAGCTTTGCTAATCGGCCATCTTGAGCATATTTTATGAAGATTTAGATTTTTATGGCTAAAGGGTCTAAAAGATGCAGCGATGGAGGCATCAAGTGATTTAAGAATTTCACACTTCACTCACTACACTCCCCACATTTATCATTGAATCATACTTTTCCCAACGTTTTATTCAGTTATCTGCTTCAGCCTCTATGGAGTCCCTTCAATTCACTTCTATGCAGAGACGAATCCAGTGAATGCACCACAGAGCTCTTGTCTAATTGTTTTAAAGCTTTCTATAGATGTGGAGATAGAAAAGTCATATTGGCTCTGAATGATGTCTACTGCCGACACTGGGCTCTTGGTCTAATATAATAATACATTGAAAAACGGATTTGGCTGAAAAAAAAAGTGCCCCTGTCAGCCTCAGTGAGATGCACTAATAGAAATAGATAGCACTTAGTTTGGTAAACAGAAAGAGCTTAAGTGCATTTAGGAACTTGAGCAGAAACAAAACATTCTGATTGGCTCTCTGCGAAGGGAAATATGAAGTCATGTTGTGGTGAATGCTCTTACCGATCGTGAGCTGTCCGGTCAGCTGTCCCTCACCGTTCCTGGCATTGACGGTCACATTACGGTCCGACTGAAGGATGAGCGGACTATCCTGCGCAAGACACAGAGGAGACATGTTTATTGTTTACTGATATATGTACTGGTCAGATCTTTGGATAAGCTCACACCATGAAGGTATACCAATCAGGGTACTCTGTAATAATAATGATAATAATTAAACAAAAAATAGCCCTTCTAGACACTCAAGGTGGCCTTACAAGTAAAAGTAAAATACTGTAAAAACACAGTCAATCAATATCATCATTAAAAAGTGCATTGTGTATTAGCTGTGCATACAACTGAGGGATTTTATATTTTTATTTTATCTTTCTTCTTTGTCTCCAGTAGGTTAGACTACTGCAATGGCCTGCTCACAGGTCTGTCCAAACAGGCTGTAAAACAGCTGCAGTACATTCAAAATGCAGCAGCTCGAGTCCTGACAAGAACCAGGAAGTACGACCATATTAGTCCAGTTCTCAGGTCCCTGCACTGGCTTCCTGTGGCTCAGAGAATAGACTTTAAAACAGCTCTGCTTGTGTACAAGTCTCTCTATGGCCTCGCACCAAAATATATTAGTGACATGTTAGTCCCATATGAACCAGCCCGGACTCTGAGGAGCACAGGGACTGGACTCCTGTTAGTGCCCAGAGTCAGAACTAAACATGGGGAGGCTGCTTTTCAGATTCATGCTGCTAAAATCTGGAACAGTCTTCCTGAAGATGTGAGACAGGCCTCCTCTCTGACAATGTTTAAAACCAGGTTAAAGACAGTTCTGTTTAACTGTGCATACAACTGAGGGATTTTATATTTTTATCTTTCTTTTTAATGTTCTGTGATAATTTATGATTTTAATGCTCTCTTGTTCTGTTCAGCACTTTGAATTGCCTTGTGTATGAATTGTGCTATATAAATAAACTTGCCTTGCCTTGCCTATCTCTTTAACATACTTGTACATGTTTACAATTTCTCTCTTAGTCAGATAAATGAATACTCATATTCAATGTTTGCTCTGAGTTTGCTCAGTCAGTAAGTAAGCTATAACGTCTTCATATATCATCTCCTTTACCCTTCTTTGCAAACTGCTGATCGGTTTTGATGGTGTGAAATAACGGGCAACTAATTCTAGCAGAGCTTTTGTTCAATAATATGAGGCCTTTGATTTTTATGAGAAAATGCTTTTGAAATGTAAAACATGTACAATAGGAAAGAATTCTCCTGTTGAGGCCAGACAGAGATGAAGATAAGATAAGAGAGCTTTTATTTGGGGAACGGGGAAATGTTCCGACATTTATGCAGACTTATTATCGCATCTCTCCTCATATGAACCAAGTACTGCTCCTGTGAAACTATGGAAGTTGGTGTAGTGTTGTGATGTAGAAACATAATAAAAAACAGTTTTCCTCATCCAAGTTTAAACCATCCTCCTATAGACCCCACTTACAGAAGGAATTATCTGTCCAGCTAAAGACATTAACCAACTAACAAATGAGCCCTGCTATTTACTATTGGCTCCTCTTCTCCTCTGAAGAATGCAGTGTGCGCTGGATTAATTATTTCCAACGGGCCGTGTGATAGGCTCCACTATATTATCTTTCCACTCTGTTAAAAGCAGCGAAGCGTTTGTAAAGCATGACAGTTATAATGCACCTCCTTCGTCCCAGCCAAATGTGCAGTGTGCATGAACAGGCGTCACCTTATTGTTCTACTGTCTCTGTTGGATGTAGATGTGTGATTAAGAGCTCCTATGAAAATACATGAATACACATACAGTAAATGCATATTTCATTTTTTAACCTCAGTTTAAAAGAATGCTGAAAAGGCTGAAAACTGGTTATTATAAAAATGCTGGTAGATGTGTGTACATTTGATGGTAACCTATTTAAATGGTAAAACAATCACTGTTTTAATGTACATAAACTCATGCTGACCTTTGCTGCATTGTGCATGAAGGATTAATTAACAACAACAGTGGATATGTCAACAAGGATTCAATTATTTCTGCTGTTACTGGTTGCCAATGAAATACAGCTGTAGGAGAAACAGATATTATGTTTTTGTTCACTGAGTGTTGTCATGGGGATGATTACTTTTGGTTGAGCAAATAATATACTGAATATTTCCAGTACAAAGCAAACCTTATGGAGAAAATATGATATGATTGGGTGATGGTTATTACTACTCGCACTGCTATGATTGATCAAAGATGTCTTAAATGTAAGTGCGTTGAGAAAAACCTCAAGGTGTGCTTGTGAGTTTATATTCATTATTGAAAAAATATGTATTCTATTTTATAGAGTTCTGAGAAAACACACTCAATCAGTAGACTTTCATTTGAACAATAGTGCCATTAAAATCCTTTATCCTGTACACAATACTTTGCTGAACAGAAAGCAGCACAAGCTTGCGTTCTGTTCTGGAGTCCTTAAAAACAGATTAGTAGGAGGCGTATTTGCTCTCTTTGGCTAATGTTTGATGTTTGATCTTGGTTTAGTTCTTGGAGCGGCTTTTGAGTCTACGTTTGAGCCCATGTTTTTCATCTTCAAATATTTCAGTCCTGATCAAATACATAAATTGCACTAAATGTTTTAGATGTCTCAAATGAAATCTGTTTTCCTGCTTATATTTCATGGTACATGTTTTTCAGAACCATGTTCAAAAGCGTCCTGATAAGCAGAGAACTTCAGAACCATATTTAAAGCATTTCTTATTGGTCACAGGTTTGATTTATGTCTTACAATAAACTATGTGCATTACAATTATAAAAAATAACTAACATGAACACTCAGAATATTCTTATGCTGGTTCTTCTAGCATCATTCTTTCTATGTTTCTGTTGCCATTAGTGCTGGAAGCTGCAGCGTTCTGCTGATACGATCACACACATTCTTATACAGCCATTATGCAGGTTTTCTGATTAAACAATACACTGCACAAGCACACCAATAGGAGATAAAAGCACTCACACTTGATATCTGTTTTCTATGCTTCACAGACACATAATTCAGGTCTGTAGTCAGCAGTTGCCACAGGGATGAGAGATGAAGCGGCGCACACATAAAGCTTAGTCTTATACAAAGCTGACTACAAGCTATAACCTGTTAATGCTGTTATAAAATGTACGCTCATAAAGTGTTTTGATAGTGCCGACACACTTTTTGGCATCATGAAAAATGTTTTTATGTGCTTTGATAAAGAGTCAAAAATAATTCACATTTTTGATTGCAGATTCATTTTCTCTCACATTCATTTTCATGTCCATCTTAAGAAGTGCCTTTAATTATTGTAATGGTACCCCTCTCTGGGGTCAGAACACCCCTGAAAAATAGACTCTGAAATCTTTAACAGGAAACTTCTCTGGTTAAAAAGTTCAAAATATTATGAAACACATACAGTACTACAAGATTTGATTTTCTTTTTTTCTCAGGCGTCTATTTCGGCCTTCAAATGAGTTCTGCTTTCTAAGTGGAATGGAAGGATGGGTATTTGACCCATTCGACAAGTATCCCAACAAATCAATTAAGTATACCTTGCTTAGACTTAGTCCAATTAAAATAGAACAAATATATCACTTGAGTTTTGAACTGTAGATAAATATGGATGAATTACTTTATCGGAACTTCTTCCTGCATCAACATTTATTGGAGGAAATGGTTTTATATCAAGTATTTAACTAGTGTCATAGCTTATATAAGTACTGTTCAGAAACATTTTATTTCCAAGCCACTCAAAGATGATCTGACCATGGACCTGCTCCTTTAGTTAATGGTTTAACTTGATTTTGATGATAATTATTGAGTAGAACTGTCTGGGGTGCCCTAAGTGATGAGTTAGGTGGTAATAAGTGCTCCTTCACTCAACTCTCTGTCTGCTCTGAACACAAGTGGCCTGACAGTCATCACCATTTCAACAGCTCTGCTTCAGTCCCACCTGTCCACTGCTATCCAGCTTCACTGACCGCTGCAGTAATGCACATTCCAGTCAACGAATCTTTTCTTCTTTGCCGTGAGCTTTAAAATCCCTGTTAGCAGCGCTGACTGTGTTCACTCGCCTGTCTCGCTTGCATCATGTCTCCATTTTCTTAACAAGGAAAAATACATTCCATAACAACAAGTGCTCAGAACTGTCAATCCAATGAAACACTTTTATACTTTATACAAATCCTGTCTCAGTATGTCCAATTCACTTTGATCGTCCATGAAAAAATCAAGTGATTTTTATGAACAATATTAACAAATATTGTTAGAATACTTGATATTGGACCTTCTTGTTTTCCTGGATGATCCTATGAGAGATTCTCAGTAGATTAGTAGATCATATGTGTATTATATTATCAGGATAGGGTATTGCTAGCTTTAAGTCACCTGCGGTACTGCAACCTACATTCACAAGGGCCCTTCTAGCCTAGGAAACTGGGGACGTTCGCAAGGGAGGGCTTGGAGGGCCGGTATGCAATGGGCACATCGCTCTGAAAGTTTCTCAGTAAAAAAGAATGCTGCACACGGCTGCTGGTGGAAAAACAGTCTGAGTCTTTTTATTGATGACGAGATAACAGGCGAAGGAGATAAGAAGCAAGGGCATGTGAGATCCAATTCACTGAGAGGATAGATGTTTGGGAAATAATGATTAATATAAATATTAGGCAGAAAACAGAGGAAATTTACCTCCATATCATAAAGTCCACATCAGGAATTTCCCCTTGAGGGAGAAATACATTATTTATCAATCTATTTACTATTCAGGTAACAATGAACTTCACTGACGTTGTTTAGCTTCTCTACTCTGGATTAGTTTGAATGGTCATGTGGGTGTAGTCGTCCTGTTCGCACCCAAGCTCTGCTTTGTTAGCATTGCTAATATTGACAGTCACTCTGAATTTGTTGAAGTGTCCTAAATAGTATAGAGTTTGAACATGATATGTAGATAAACTAAAAAGGTTTAACTTTAGTTTAAACGTCACCGGTGCTACAACTCTTGTGTCCCCCAAACTCTTACCGACTCGTCTTGAAGATGAAAAATAATTTGTTGACATCCATTCCTGCAATTTTTAATGATTTATGTAAAAAATGCATTGTAATG